TTGATATATCTTATAGATATGGTTGTATAGATATATATATATATTATTGATAGGTATAATGTACTAGTATATATATAGTTTATTTTTATATATCTTATATTTATATATATATTAGATATTATATATATATGTTAGTATACAGATAATATATTTATATATGGGATTTTCATATAAATACAGTTTTATACTTATATATATAGATTTAGAGATATATATATATTTATATATTTTAGATATATATATATATATATATATATATGTATATATATGTATTATTTGTATATTAAAAGATCTATATATAATTTATATGTATTAAAATATTATTATATATTTTATAGATATATATAGATATAATATAGATATTTATGTTATATATATATATTTACAATATATATAGATATTTATATAATTATATATTATTCTTTATATATAATATTATATATATATATTATATACTATATATATATATAATATACATAGATATAATATATTTATTACATTTACATATATATATATATATATATATTTTATACTTTATTATAAATTATTTTTCTTACTAATATAATATATATATATATATATACATTTATTTATATATTTATATTTATACCCCATATATAGAGATATACATATACATATATCATAGTTATTATATATATACATTTTATTTATTATATATAGTAACATATTTTTATATATATATATTTACAAAGAGATTTTATATATTTTTACACATATATACTATATATAGATTTACATATATATATATATTATCTATACAATATAAAATTATATAGTATAGTACACCTATTATATTATATCTATAGATATATATTTATATATATATATATATATATATATATACATACCATGTATATTACATGTTTATATATGTATTATATGTATATATTTGTTCTTATTATGTATAATATGTACATATATGTACATATATTACATTTATGTACATTTATGTACTTAATGTACATATATGTACATTTATGTAATATATGTAATATATGTACATATATCTATATATATGTATTATATATGTATATATATATGATGTATAATATATATATGTATTATATGTATTATATTGTATATTATTGTATATATATGCTTAATATTATGATATATAATGCATATGTATATGCATTTATATATGCATATATATGCTTATATATATGCATATATATATGCTATTATATGCATATATATGTATATATATGTAGTATATATGCATATATATAGGTATATATATGTTATATATGCATATATAATATGTATATATAAGTATATAGACATATTATATACTATATATAATTATTTATACATATATATTACATATTTTATTATACATAGACAATAAAATATTATAAACATTATATAAACATATATATATACATATATACACAATTATACAGTTATATATACATATATATATTCAGATATATATACATATACATTTTTATACATATACATATTAAATATTAAAACCCCCTATTACATATACATATACATTATATATACATAATCATAAAAATATACGGTACACATAAACTTATACGTAAACTTTTATATTACTTATATACTTACACATATAGTTACATTATTTATTACTTATAGACATATATACTATATACAAATACATACATATATATACATATATATATATATATATATATATATAGTATATATATCTTAATAGTTTTATTATATTATATATACAATATAACATAATATATACATAGACATATACAATATACAGTAACCTTATACCGATACATATACATATAACATTTACATATACATATACATATACTTATATATACAGATACATATAATATACATTATACTTATACAATATACATATATATTCATCTACATATACATATACTTATACATATATTATCATTATTTTTTATATATATATCTTATATATATTTATATATATATCTATATATATATGTACCATGCTACCCACCACTTACATACTTACTTGCTTCCATCCCTCTTTTTCTACAAAACCATCTCATAACTGCTAAAGATCCCCCCACTCCACAGCCTTACTCTAACTACCTATCCCTTTTCCAGCCATATTATGGACATGCTACATCTCTTCATTACTGCCTTTGCCACCCACCCTCCCTCTGTCTACCTCCCGTAATGCAGTCTGTGGCCCGAGTGAAGCATTGGAATAACAAAAACCCTTTACCTTCTGGTAGGTTGTGGACGGGTTCATTTCGGCGGGGCCCCCCCAACCACACACCAGCCCCCCCCTTCTTCTTGCTGGAAACCCTCAGACGGGTCGCCTGAGGGCTCCCACTGGTGGCGCCTTCTCCTCCTTTGCACTTTGATGATGGGGGAGGGGACCTTGCGCCACTTCCTTGAATGTCGCTGGGATGTGTTCGTTGTGTCATCTGGACAGGGGACTTTAGCAGTGCCTCGTGACTGATGGTCGTATTTGATGGATAGTCGTGGTGGTTGTGAACTCCTCATTCTATTGGAAAAGAAGTTGGTATAATTTATTTCTTTTTGTGGGCACAAAAGAAAATAATAATGAACATACACACTCATTTACTCTGAAGACATTTATCATAAAAATAGTCACTCACATTCCTTGTTCCTTTTCCTTTTTTTCATTTTCTCCATCTCGTACTATTACTATTGCCTCTTGCACCCTGTCTAAATCTTTTCATATCAGATTATAACAAAAAATAATGAAATAAAAATAAAAAAAATTATATTTATATATGTTATTATATATAGTATATATATATTATTATAATATATATATATATATATATATATATATATAAATGAATATATATATTATATCTATATATGAATATATATATATCTATATATATATAGAATATATATCTATTAATATAAGATATATATATATATATATAATATATATATATATATATATAATATAGATATATAATATATATATATAATATATCTATATAATACTATATACTATATATCTATAATATATATATATATATATATATATCATATATATCTATATGAAGTATATATATATATTATATATATGAAATATATATATATATATATATATGAATAATATAGATATATATATATTGAATATATATAATATATATATATATATGAATATATATATATATATATATATATATGAATATATATATATATCTATGCTATATTGAATATACATATAATATATATAGAATATAGTATATAATATATGAATATATATATATATATGAATAGGAATATAGATGAGAGAGATATATATATAGTATATATATATATATATACTAGATATATATATATATATGAGTGAATATAATAGATATATATATGGATATATATATAGATATATATAGATATTCAGATATATATATATATTATAGAAGATATATAGATTATATATGTAGAATATATATATATATGGAATATAGATAATAGATATATATATATATATATATATATATATATATATATTATAAAATATAGGAATATATATAAAAAAAAATATTTTTTTATGGAATATTATATATATATATATATAATATATATATATATGTATAGTATATATTAGATAGGAATCTATATGAATATATATGAATATTATGAATATATATGGAATATATATATCCATATATAATATATATAGACAGATAGATATAGATATACATATATCTATATATATAGATAGAGAATACGATATAGATATATGTATATCTGATAGTATAGATATGTCATATCTAATATATATAGAGTCTTCATATATAGATATAGTCATAGAATATATATATATATATATCTATATATATATATAGGATATAAGGATAGAGGTATATGAATGATGATATATAATAGATAGATATATATTTAGATATATATATTATAGTATATTAATATAGATATCTTCAGATAGTAAAGAGATATAGAGATATATAGTGCAGATAGATATATATATCTATATATAGAGAGTTAGATATAGAGAGATATAGGCATAGGAGAGATGATAATATATATATAGAGAGAGATAGATAATATATAGAGTCATATTATATAGAGATATATAGATATAGACATATAGATATGAGATAGATATATATATAGTAATATATATAGAGATAGATCATATATGGTAAAAAACATGAGAGTAGAGTATATATATAGAAGTGTAATTGAATAGAGTATATAGATGAGACAGGCAGTAGATATAGCTAGAGAGAGAGATATATATATATATATAGGTAGATAGAGCTAGAGATAATTCATAGAGAAGTAGAGATATAGATAGATATATAGAGATATAGGCAAGATATAGAGAGTCATATATATATATTATATATATAGAGATATATATAGATAGATATGATAGTCAATATATAGTAGATAGAGAATGAGATAGTCAGATATATATTAGATCGATAGAGATAGAGATATAGATATGTCAGAGATAGATAGAGATATAGTAGATATTCAAGTAGAGAGATAGATATAGATAGAGAGAGAGAGATTCAATACTATATATATAGTCATATCGAGATATAGTTCATAGAGAGAGAAGAGCATATAGGAGTAGGAGATATATATATAGAATGCAGTAGATAGATAGAGGCAAGATTATGTAATATGCATGAGATATATAGAGTTCAGAGAGTATATAGATAATAGATATATATAGTCAGAGAGTATCGATAGTATATATAGATATATGCATATGAGCTAGAGATTCATATATATATAGATGCATATATATAGAGATATATAGAGTATATATATAGAGATAGAGAGATAGATAGTCAGATAGAGAAGAGGATATAGTAGAGATACAGAGATAAGATATATATAGTCATAGAAGAGAGATATATGATATAGAGATAGATGCATAGAGATATAAGAGAATAGGCAGAATGAATAATAGAATATAGAGTAGAGAATAGAGTAGATAGAATAGAGAATAGAGAGATAGATAGATATAGATAGATATAGAA